TATATATTGTATTGCACTCAACAGAAACTCAAGCTCTAAGAGTTTTCCCTGGGTGTATTAGTTAGCTTGCCATTGCAGGCACAAAATACCTGACAACTTAAGAGAATACCTATAAATTAAGACAGGAGAGATTTAGTTTGGCTCATGGTTTCAGAGGTTTCAGTGCATTATTGACTGGCTCCAAGGCAGAAATAGCATGTTGGAAAGGGAAGATGGAGAATGCTGGGAGTGGGTTGGAAAGAGCCAAAGAGAAAAGGACTGCGGATCAGATACATTTTCTAAGGCCAGGTCCCCATGATCCACTTCTCCCAACTAGGCACTGCCTCACAATATGCACTCAGCAGTGAGTTAACTAGTTGATGAGATTAGTACGCTCACAATCCGATCACCTCTCCAGGAGTCTCTTAATCTAGTCAAGTTGACAATCGAGATGAACTGGCAAACTCTGTAATTGATGATGGTCAAATGATGATAACGAAGATGCTGATGAACAGAACCTTCTTTTCTATTCATCTGTATTACCTAGGTTTGCCAAAATAGAATTCTAACCCTTAAAACATTCAGGAGAGTTTTACATGAAAATACAGTTATCTTGCAGGGTCACAGGTGGCAGACCCTATTTCTGTCAGACACAATGTAATTTATGCTGCAAAAGGACATCTTTGTGCTCTTTCACATCAACCTCCAAGACCTGCCTGAAATTTCATTAGTGATCTGTCATGGTTATTTATATAAACCGGGCCAGCAGGCTGTTTATGTTATGAATCTCCTCTACCATTTAGGGGCAGTGAACTTTTCAAGTTCCAAACTCACTTCTTTCATATTGAAAGGATCTGACTTGTACCATCTAGATCTAATATACCTAGACATAGAGGGAAACAATACGTGGCTGAAAGAGAGAACCTTTATGAGAACTAGGAGATATAATGGTAAAATACCATTCCCCAAAATCTTTCACCAGGGCAAGATACAACTAACACTTTCAGCACAAAAAACACAAACTACTGCCAATAATAAAGAAATAATTTACTTCAATAATTATAATGAGAAAGATTCATTATTATTAAAAGAGAAGAGCTATTACAATTAAGATGTTTTATTCTTGTTTTGTTGTTGTTGTTGTTGTTGTTCTTTTATTAAATTCTTTTATTGGTACATTGTAGGTATATAACACAATTACATTTCTCATTGGGAATTGTACCTTTACATAATGCCTCTTGGTTCTTATTTTTTCCCCATTCCTAGCCCTTCCTTCATGCCCTCCACCCTTCCCTATTTACAAAGACTTTATTTCCATTTTTTCCATTTCTCATCATTTTTCCTTTCCCTTCTTTCCTTTCCCCTGCCCCTCCCACTACCTTACCCCTTTGGACCTTTTCTTCCTATTTTACATTATCAATTATTCATTCTAATCATTGGTACATTTTAGGTATACAATATAATGACATTCATCATTGGAAATTTGTACCTTTACATAGTCTCTCTTGGTTCTTATTTTTCACCCTTGCCCAGCCCTCCATTCAACCCCTCCATTCCTCCCTATTTACAAAGATTTTGTTCCTATTTTTTCTTTTTTTCATATTGATTCCATTCCCTTCTTCCCTTTTCCCTACCCCTCCCACTTCCTTCCCCTTTGCCCCTTTTCTTCCTATTTCACATTACCTATTATACCTTTTAGTCCTTACTTACGCTTTCAGTTTCTCACACCAGAGAAACTATTTGGTATTTATGCATGTGTGTCCTATTTATTTCACTTAAGAGTATCGCCTCAATGTTTATCCACTTAGCTATTAATGTCTCTAATTTCTCATTTTTTATGGCTGAGTAGTACTCCATTTTATTAAAAAAACACATTTTCTTTATCCAGTCTCCAGTTGATGGGCATTTGGGCTGTTTCCAAGTTTTAGCTATCACAAGCTGTGCTGCTATGAACATGGGCACACATGTATCACTGTGGTATGATTCTTTTAATTCTTTAGGGAAGATCCCCAGCAGTGGAATAGCTGGGTCAAATGGGACTTCCAGTCCTAGTTCTTTGAGGTATCTCCATACTGATTTCCACAGTGCTTGCACCAGTCTACACTCCCACCAGCAGTGGAGCAGGGTTCCTCTTTCCCCACAGCCCTGCCAGCATTTGTTATTGGTTGATTTCATGATAGCAGCCATTCTTTCTGGAGTGAAGTGGAATCTCAGCGTTGTTTTCATTTGCATCTCTCGAATGACCAGTGATGTTGAACATTTTTTCATATATTTATTTGCTATTTCTACTTCTTTGTCTGAGAAATGGCTGTTCATTTCAGATGCCCATTTTTGGATTGGGTCTTTAAATTTGGGAGGTCTGATCTTTTTAAGTTCCTTATAGATTCAAGATAGTAGACCTTTGTCTGAGGAAGAGCAGGTGAAGATTTTTTCCCACATTGTGGGTTGTCTCTTCACACTGCTGGTGGTTTCTCTTGCTGTGCAGAAGCCTTTTAATAAGAAGAGATCCCACTTGTTGATTGTTTGTGCTAGTTCATGGGCAACTGAGGTTTTGTTCATAAAATCTTTTCCTGCACCGATGTCTTCAAGGGTTCTACCTAACTTCTGTTCCAATTGGTTCAGAGTTTCTATTTTAATATTTAGATCTTTAAACCATTTTGATTTTAATTTAGTGCATGGTGAGAGATACAGGTCTAGTTTTAATCTTTGGCAAGTTGAAGCCCAATTTTTCCAGCACCATTTATTAAAGAGGTTATCTTTCCTCCAGTGAGGGTGTTTGGCTCCTTTATCGAAGATGAGATGGCATGCACAGACCTGCCTGTCTGCAGTGGGGTGATTCGGCATCTCAGCTATCTGATCTGTGATCTCAGCACTTGGGAAGCTGACGTAGCAGGATTTCCATGAGTTTGAGGCCAGCCTAGGGTACTCAGTGAGATCAAGGCACTCTGAAAAGTGGGAAGAGCCGCTGCTAGCCCCAGGCCACTTCTTAAGAGGATAATAAATCCATTTCTGAGGGCTCCACACTCATGACCAAATTACCTTTCAAAGACCCCTCCTGCCTCTGAAACCTGGGCTTTTCTGTGTCCATTTGTCTCTGTCTCAATTAAGACTCAGCCACCAGAGAGGCCAGCATTTACTTCCAGTTCAAGATGTTTTATTCTTGTCACTTCTTACTGCACTAGGATTCAGAAAAATCATGTCATGAAATTAATGATTAGTCTAAAACCTGGCACAGGGAAAAAACAACAAATGGTCATTATGATGTTACTATCATCAATATGTTACTATTGATGGTTATTATCATCACCGTGACCCACAGTCCAGTGGGGATATGACCAGAGAACAGAGCCAGCCATAAGTCTGTCTTCTATTAAGTGTGAACATATATTTATATATACATATATATTCTCACACATGCCTACACACACACCTCCTACATACACATGAAGTACTTTTTTATTTATCATATCACTTTACTTAGGATCTTTGTGCCTAGGTAAAATTATTGGACAATTAATTATAAAAAGTGTTCTAATTTTATATATAAAGAAATTATATCAAAAGAAGCAAATCAACTCTCCTGAAGCAGTCAATGGAAAATCTGCTCCTAGAATGCTGCATTTCAGTCTCCTAGTTTCCTGCTCTTTTCCCTTGCTGGGAAAGAGGCAAAAGAGATTGGGGCATAAGAATGCAAAGAAGGTGAAGGTATAAGTAATAATACTATAGGAAGCTGTTTTTCAAACACATGCAAAGTATAGAGTTGTCAAGCAATGAATTTTATTTGTGACTGTGCCTTATAAAATTTGCCTCTATGCTCTGTAATCATGCCCAATAAATTAATTAAAATAGGCATTAGCCTATATTTATAATTTATTGTTTATTGCACCAGCATAAGAAGGCAGAACACAGTACTATGTACCACAAAGCCTCAAATTTTTCTTTAAATTTATAGTACTGTTCTAAAGGAGACAAAGTTAGAGTCTGACAAGTTTGAGTTGATTTCACATTATGTTTCCTAGCTTCTTGGCTCAATAAGCTAGACCTTCAGCAGTGCCAAGCATACACTGACTGCCCTGAATCACCCAAGGTATGCTGGAGGCCTTAGGAGACCATATGTTAGGCATCTGACATATGTTAAAAAGAGCTGGTCATATTTCTGAAGCATATTTCCATAATGGGGTTTCAGCAATGCTAGAATTAGCCCTGTAGCTCATCATGTTTAATTCATCCTTAATTACATTTGAATTTGTGAACTTTTCCACAAAGTCTTCACAACTGCACCTTTACTACAGTAGTCATGCTTGCTGGATCTTTTATGCTTTAAGTACAAATGTCAGTGACTGGTGAAATTTCACAATTATACTATTCATTGTCATTTTTCATTCAGCCATGAATCAACATAATATGATGATAGTTGTACAATTATAAAAATATTATCTAGTAGA